TGCTGAAGGTAGGGATTTCAGCAGTACAGTTAGTTAATACCTTCACATTTAAAAAAAAATAATGTAGAATCCAGTATCTTTTGGATCCTCCGTTTGGTTTTATGACTTAGGTGGGCAGGATGAAAGGAAAAGGGAATAATGGTTATAATGCTAGAAGTTGGCTCAGTGAGGAGACTTTCCAGGATCTTAACGCTGCATACGAGCTCAGCCATTTGAGGCTGAAATGCACGCATGCATGTTGGAGGAAGCACTCGGAGTTAAACCTCCCATTCTCTCTTCACAAGTGCTAACAGTGCAACCATGTGAGACACAATTGCGTGAGCTATAGCTGCCTTTAAAGCCCTTTCTTAATCCTCTCAGTATCTGATTCGTAATCATCTGGATCTGTTGCACTTCAATCTCTGAATCCATGCCTTCTTATTTTCCTATCATTGTTCCCGAGGAATGGCAACTCTACTGATGGATTTCTTTTAGATGAGTTGCATCACAACTGACTTGTATTTAACATTTTCTGATTATAACTTCAGCACAAAGCTGAATTGTCTTAACAATATCGACTGTAGGCTCTATTCTTTTTTTTATTATTATTTTTTTTATTTCCTCCCTTCTCTCTCCCCTTCTGCCTTTTTCCGTTTTAGGACCAATATACCATAAAAAAACATTTGGCATTCAAGTATTGCCAATATATAACTGACCATCATTTTTCACTCGTAGGTCACGTACAGGTCATAGTCACGCCCTTTGTCCTGTTTGTCTCTGAGTAACCTTGAATTACTTTCAAAATAATTCAGGCTTAATAGTTCTCGGTCTGATTCATCGGGCACATTGGGTTATTCTGGATGGTTTTGGTACCGTCCTTAAACACTGAAACAAAGCATAAACGGTCCCTTTGGTGGTTAAAGCATCTTTTTTTTCCTTCTCTTTGAATTTGTTTGATAGTCATCATATTTTCTAAAGGTGATTGATTGTTGAATGCCACCTTTCTTCCTCAATCATCACCCCTTCAAACTGATACGTTCGTTTGCCGAATTAAAAAATTGTAGTCTATTTAATAAAAAACCAAAACCAAACGCAAACAAAAAAACCCCACCCCAAAAACAAAACCACAAAAGGAAACAAACTGCTGTTTTAGAATTGCAGGGTCAATACTTAACCTGGATCAGATCGTTAAGGGCTTTGTCCAGTCAGGTCTTTACAGCCTCTCCAGACAGTGTGTGTTGTTGAAATGATAGTTATTGGTATTTAAATATGTTATTTTAGAAGTGGAATGTTTGGGAATTTTGTGCTTTTTCTTAAAGAAATTCAAACCTTTGAGTGATTTAGTCAGAACCAACTCTCCGTCCCACCCTTTCCTGCCATACTCCCAAAGAACCAGAGGGGAAAAAAAAGCCAGAGTGCCGTGGCTGCAGTTAATGTCGAGCCTGCTGCGGGGTAGGAGGGATGTCGCGATAGGCAGCATACCTATTGCACCGCGTCCAGGGCCTCTCTGTCAGAACTGGAGCTTTGTCATGCAGAATGTGAAGGAATATCTCGTATTTCATAAAGGCAGTCCTTTGTAAAACAAAAAAGGCTGCGGTTGTTTGAAAAGGAGTTGGAAAGGGGAGTTTGTAGTGAGTTCTGGTTTTGTTTCAGGGCGCGCAAAGGGACATGTATTACAAAATGCTTCCAGAAGTGCAGCTCTTCCTCAGCTTTTAAGGGCTGCTTCTCTTGGTTTAATTTTTCACCTCCCTTTTTCTGTATCTGTACTGCCTGGGGTAATCACTTCCACACAGAGACTCTCCGGGGAAGCAGGATTTATCGTACATCTCAGCCGGAGATTATTTATTTTGATTAACAAGGCTAAAGAGAACAATGTTTGCCACATAGATCAATAAGTAATCTCCTTTGTAGGTACTTTTATAAGAGAGACAGATTTTGATTGCTCAGTTATAGCAATATTGTATTGCGAACAATGCATTTTCTTGTGAATGTTGTTTACTATTTTTTCTGTAGGAACCAGCAGTGAGAGTGAAGAAGAGATCGTTTTCCAGAGAAAAAATAGGAAAAAGAAGAATGTTTTGAAGTCTCCTGATGTGAGTCTTAGAAAAAGGAAAAAAAAAAAAAAAGATACAAGAAAAGCAAAACAACAAGGAAGTCAAACACCAAAACAAAAATCCTCTTTGCAATTATTCTTATTTCTGTTTCCATAGGTTATGAATGATAGTGATTTGGAATCGCCAATTCGAGCCATCCGAAAACGTCGACACCCACTTAATATGGTTAGTAAGTGCTTTGGTGAGACTGAAGCAAAATAATGCAAACTCATTTATGGAGTATATATTTAAACATTTCCTCTTTTTCCAGTCAGTAGGCAAGTGTTCTTATTAAAAATATTTTATGCCGTCTGACCTAAGGCATATTAGGATGTAATTGCTTTCCTTCCTTCAGTTCTTTCCCGAGGTCTCCAAAGATGACTTTGTAGTTGTTGTTTGGCAGTGAATTATTGTCATAGGCAGGAGAGCTGGGCCTCTCCCTTTGTGAAAGGCAGTAAAGGAACCTTTCTTCCACAAAGCCGACAATCAAAACCAAAAATGTTCATGTCACATTTGACCTGATTTTTCTTCCAAATAACATGTTTTTCTGTTCCTTTTGTATTTAATAAGATGATTAGCATCACTGCATTATTCTGCCATAGCAAATCAATCACAAAAAATCAGGTGTTGCTTAAAAAAACCCAGATGTTGAAGGATGACTGTGTAATTAATGTATTGCTTGCTTTAGTCTTATTTATTGAAGTGTTTGTGAAATGTTCCTCTAGTCAGACACGTCCAGCGATGACAGCATGGATTTTCACAAGAACTCACGCAGGACCACAAATAGCAGCTCAGCAGCCTATAACAAAAAACAGCTGAGAAGTCCGAAACGGCAAAAGGTCAAGAGCAGTTTTGCATACAGGGTATGTGACGTTACCTGGCTCTCTTAATATGGTGAAGGTCATATTTGGAGCAGTTTGCATCGAAGTTGCAATGTAGATAACGGCTGTGCTTTATCTTACGTGTGTGTATGGATGTAAGTGCACGTTTGCCATGTTGCAAAACCTAGTTCAGAAGAACGCTTCCGTGAACATAAGCAACACGTGTTACCAAACAAAAACAAAAAAAGAGACAGAAAGAGACTTAGTGAGATTCTGCTTTCTGTTCAATCTGCAAGAATGAACTAAAAATATTTTCTAATTTGTCTATATTTAAATTTAAAAAAACACGTGAAAATGCCAGAAATGTTGAGCACTGGTTTCACATACTTAAGACGAAAATTTACTGTGTAAATTTACTGAGTAACTCATTGTGGAGCTTGTGTGTATTTGGTGGCCTAAAAAATGGAGCTTCTGTCTATTTGATGGCCTTTGTAGGATCTCCTGATACAACTGTATTATAGTAGGCATGCAGTTGGGCAGTTGTTTGATTTTTAAGACATTGTTTAGGAGGGTTGAGGCTCATAGCAATTTCACACAAGTTGGTTGCAAACATTTGAGACGAAATCTTGAAACTCTGGATAATGATCTTAACCCTCACGTCCGTTGCCTGACTTGCGGAGGAATCTGCAGGGCCCTGCATAATAATGTTCTGAAGCAAAATAACGATTTACATTACGAGTAGAAGATACTCAAAGATTAGTCAGACTCGGGAAGCTCAGGTACTTGTCCAGAGCTTATGCTGCTAGGGTATTTGATCATCTGAATTTACCACCTACTCTAATGGTTTAAACTTTGAACATTTTAAGACAGCAATGGTGCCTTGACCCCAAAGCTTAAATATTAACTTAGTATTTTACACTTTAATCTGTCACTGCATCAGGAATGGATGCAGGAGAGGATGCAGGGCCAGACTCATATATTCATAGTAAGTTGAAAAGCTCTTAAATATGCATGGATGTGGTTCCACTAAGCAGAAATTACTGTAATCAGGACTCCAGGGCACATTATGTTGGATATTTTTAATGTTTTAAAGATAATCTTCATTATGGAGACTTCCCTGTAGTATCAGTATTTTATGTTCTGGAATACAAAGAATTAGGTAGATGAAAAATCCATTTTTCAATTGTATTTAAACATTTTTTTATGTGAGACCAAAAGGCTCATGGAAAGAGAGTGTGTTACCCTTATACTTAGGAAATTCTACTCTGCCTTCACATATCATCCTACCTAAACATTCACAGTGATGAACATGTCAGAGTTCCACATCCACAGAAGATCCAAGACATCAAAACCATTCTGATCAGTCCGGCACTGGTTACGGTGTTCTGTCAGGAGTACGGGTAATGGGGTTGTAAGGGCAGCAGAGATCTGCAGTTAGATTGACGGAGATTGTGAGAAGTCCAAGGTGACCAAGATAGCCACAGGCACCGAATTCAAAGATGCAATACATAATTTCAGAACCTGGTAACTTATTGTTTCCCAAGCATGACCAGACTCTTGACTGTTAGTTTCTGGTGTCACAGTGCTTTTTACGCTGCAGGGTTTGTCCTTTCCGTAGTCCGTCACAAGTAAGAAGGATTAAGACTAATTGGCAATAGCATTGAGAGTTCTTTCCTGTAAACAGGTGACCTCCAGTGTGTTTCAGGATAATCAAAACTGTTCTAGAAAAGGAACTACTAATAATGCCTGTCATTCAGCCTTACTAATTGGTGTAAGCAAATGATTAAAGGACTTTGGAAAACTGGAAAATCAGAGATGTCACTTATTGTAGCACAAGATGCCTTAGTCTTCCATGTACTAAATGGAAATTTACAGCTTTGTGCTTTTTATTTGAAGTATTTTGAAGGCAAACAAATAATTCTTTTGGAGTAATTTGGATACTTCATGTTTTTTGAGGTTTTTTTTCACTTTTACTTTAGTACTTCATAGCTGAAATTATAAGAGAAAAAGTTGGCTTAATATAAAGTATCTCTGACAAAACATCTTTCTGAATTCGTGTGATTTGTTTCCATGTACATTCTTGTGAATCTTCTGTTGTCTGTTCTGGATGGAACTTAGTACCGAGGTTTCTATCATGCCTCCTGCATGACTGCCGTTCATGTGTGAAGTGCCTCGTCTTTCTCCATAATGAGTTGCATTGTGGGATGAAGTCATGACACAATTAATCCTAAGGCCTAAACAGGAAAGGGCAAACCAGTGTGAAGTCTGTGTCTGAAGTTTCTGGTGGACTTGGGTTCAGAGTAATCCAGCACTTCAAAATCAAAACAGATTTTTTTAAAGCAAATAAAATGAGTAAAATTAGATTTATAAGCTACAAAATAACCTAATGTTTTTGGGTTGCTTAGCTACAATGTGTTAGTAAACTCTGCCTGTACTATTAACTAGTCTAGGTGCAAACAGTGCTACACACTGGGTTACCTTTGGCCAGTGCTTTGAAATGGACTCCGGCTCCCCCCGTCTGCGCTGGCGGGACAGTCGCGTGTGCGCTGGCAGGACAGTCGCGTGTGCGCTGGCGGGTATTTCACCGAGCTCTGTTCTTCACGTCGCTGTTCCCTGTGATGGATTCTCTTTCCGAGGCCAGATGCCTAATATCTGTGATGATCTAAGCAGCTGATGTTCTGAACTCACGGACTGACTTAATCGGAGGTCTCATATGTTACATTAGTTAATTGGGAGCCACCTTCTCACTAAAATTTTGTTTGGATTTTTTTCATTTTTAGAATGCAGCAAGACAGTTTTTAGATGAAGAAGCTGAGCTGTCCCAGCAAGATGCAGATGATGTTTCATCTGATGAGAAGGACGATGCAGAGAATGAGCTGAACTCTTCACTTGCTCAGTTCCTGAACGATGATGTAGAGGTCACACAAGTGTTAAATGGTGAATGAGGAGAGTTGTTTATGGTTTTGAGATAAGGGGTGCTGCTTACTAAACGGTGTACGATAGGCATGGCCATTCGGTCAGCTAATATGTCAGCATGTGTCAGCTAATAAGCAGTAACCTCCTTAGCTGTGGTAAATCAGCTGCTTTCCATTACCTGTTTGTACCTTTCCTGTTTGTATTTGCATGGGTTTCTTACGTAGCGAGTTCCTCACTGGAGCCTCCCCCGTGCAGTGGCTTTGGGCAGGCTGGAGGCGGGGGCAATCTCGCGAAGAGCCAGCCGCCCCTCATACACCATTATGACTGAACAGAAACACAATTTTCCGTTTCACTTAGAAATTTCTGAATCTTTCAGGTCTTCTGAAACAGAGACCTAAAATATGATATAACAATATGAATGTTAAAATTACAGTGTTGACACTGACGGAGCCGAGAAGGTGATGCTGGCTTTTGGCCAGCTTTGCTTACCCCTGTGCTTAGGAGCCTTGTCTTTCCCTGGGATATTTGCATGATGGAATCATCTTATTAGCATTTAAGATTCCCAGGTGTTGCTGAGGATTTTCTGTCTCCACTGAAATTGTGAGTCTGCGTGGGCTTCAGTAAACCCATTCCTTTCTCATACGGTCTCTGAAAGCAGTTACTGTGTCTGTTTTGGGAGAGACTTGCAACATGGGAAACTGAGTGATTTGGGTTTCCCGTGGTTAACGTTGCCCTTCCCCCTTCTATGGGCGTCCAGAGCTCTGCTGCTGAGCAACCCTTCTGCATGGCAGCTTTCACGACGGCGAGCTGGGTGGACCTAAGCCTTGGCTTTGGGATTTTCAGAGGCGTCTGGAGAATTTCTAATTTTTGTTTTGTGAAATACAGGTTTTTGGGAGACTATAAAGGAATTACTCAATATGGAAAACACGATGTAACAATAATGAATTAAAACTTATATCCTTAATAATACTGTATTCTCTTTTATCTTCTTGTTTTAATTCAGACTGTGAAATGAAAGGAGTTTACCTGAAATCTGTGCGTAGTCCAGCTCTTGGCAATAGATACAAAATGGTTCATCGTGAATTCAACAACATGACAATTTTCTCACAGGTATGAAACGAAATGACTACTGTCCTTGTGAAATTCCGATGGCGTGTGACCGTGTTTAGGTTCTAATCTTACCTTGAAGTGTAGTTTGCAGCCTATTGTTGATAAATAGTAAGTTCTAACAAAGACTTTTGACTTCATTTTGATTTTCAAGTTAAAGTGTGCAGACACGTATGCTTTGATAGAAGCATACACACCCTGTTCTTCAGCTGGAGAGAGGCTGTGAACCACTCTCGAGCGAAAGCACCCCAGTCCCTGGTCTTTTCAGTGACGAGTGGTGATCGTTGTTGGTCAATGTAGGACTGCACGGTGCTTCCAGGGTCGGAAGCTTATCTCCCCCTCTCTGCTGAGAGGATACTGACTGACATCTTCTGAGGAAGAGTCCTCTCACCCTGCACGTGATGTTTCCAGTCTCTTAACCAGTTTGGTGAAACAGGCAACCCCCAAACAGAGGTGTGACAGTTTGAGCGCATTCGTGGTACCCAGCTGTACGTCAGATTGCCCTGCGCGCTTGTTGCCAGACAAACAGCAGTGCCAAGAGATCAAATTTTCTCTAGCAATTACAAGGTTAGCTCCTGAAATGTAAGTTTGGAAACATTTACGAGAACAAAAAGTCGCGTATTTAACAGCGCTGGTTGCTGCTCCTCGGCGCTCTCGGGCAGGGTGCCTCTTGCTGTCCAGTGCCCCAGTGCTACTGGGGACTGCCCCGTTACGTGGTCCCCAGATGCTGGCTGTGCCCCTGCCGCCTGGGGTGGCTGCTGAGCACGCATGCCTCTCCAAAGCAGCTCCTCAGCCAAGCTCTTGCCCTGTTGCGTATGGTATCGTTATGCACTAATTCTGTGTGCTCATAAAGTGCAGTGAAACATTGCTGGATTATCGTGATGGGGCTTTCGAGATGTGGACTTCCCATCCCGCCTGCTCCCAGCTTAGTTCGGTTTCTGTCGCACCTGGCTGTGTTCCCCCTCCACGTGAACGCTGCACGCTGCTCAGCCGAGGTGTTTCCTGCGTGATCTCTGTTCTGGGTTCTGTGTTACTCTGATCTCTTCAAACAGCACGTGACATAAATCACTTGTACAGTACTTTTTAGCTAAAGAGAATTGGAAAAACGGATGCTCAGGATGGTTCCTTATCTCCCCTCCCATTTTTTTTTTCTGTATCCTGTATTCCTGGCTTTTTATCACCTTCAGCACAAGAAAATGGAGATCTGTATTTGATGAAAAGGATAAATAACTTTTTTTTTTTTCCTTAACACAAAAATTCAGGTTGTGCTCACTGGTTGTTTGCAAGCAGGTAAGAAGAATGCATGGGACTCGATTTCCAAGCAGCCTCGGCTTACAATGTCAGTTTTGTCATTTCAGCTGAGGCAGAGTTTTGCTGAAAACGCAAAGCTTGACCTTCCATTTCATTTTACACATTGAAAGGCATCATAAAGTGCTTCTGCCAGCAAGCCTTGTGCGTATGCTGGGGAGCTCGTTACGCAGGCGGTACAAAGTGTGGAATCTGCCTTTCTTCATGCAAAAGCCCAGCGTGTCCCGAGCGCGCAAGCGTGGCGGTTCAGAGCGCTTCCCCCTGCGCAGGGACAGGCAAAGGAGGTGCTCCTGTCTGTAATCCCAGCCTGTTTGGTAGCGATACTAGCGAGCGACTCTCGCTTCTATTGCGATACTGCAGTTAATGTTCCCATTAAAAGCTTTCTGGTGAGGAATCATGGGCCTGACTGCAGTCGGAGTGTACGCTCGTTCCAGACCCAGCTGCGAGCGTGTAGGGCCCCGCAGGGAGGAGGCTCAGGAGCTGCAGAGCGTACTCGGCAGCGGAGGTTTCGGGAGGCGCGAGGAGCCCCCAGGCCCCGCAGTACTTGTGCGTAGGATGGACTGGATGAGCAAAATGCATTTATGGAGAGGGGCAAAATCATTACAGTGTTTCGAAACTTACTGCGTTTCCTTTTTTTGCCCCCAGATTCCTGAGCAAGACCAGACTTACGCAGAAGACAGTTTCTGTGTTGGAGAGGAGGAAGAGGAAACTTGCCAAAAAAGTGAATCTAGTGAGGAGGAAGTGTGCGTTAATTTTGATCTCCTAAATAATGAGAGTTTTACTAGTGGAAGAAAACAATACCTCACTCGCCGCAGAAAAAAGTTAAACCAGGCCGGGATGGGAGAGAACTGCTCTGTGCCAATGCAAAAGAAGAAACCGTCCCGAATTATTGTTCTCAGTGATTCCAGCGGGGAAGAAGCAAGTGTCAGCAATGAGAAGCCCATGAAAACAGACTGTTTCTGGGCAGAACAGGAAGACGCTAAGTTACCCAAGTCATTGCCTTCAGCCCCTTCTGTGCAGCCCAAGAAAATTCCTGGAGAAACCAGTGTTTATCAGTCTGTGGAGAGTAAAAGTGCGATGCTTCTCGGCTTGAAAGCTTCAGTATCGGAAATGCTGGATTTTCACCCAGACCATCGAGTCGGGAGCACACGCTTTCCACCAGCTGTTGCTAGTTCCCATTCCGGGAAGGAGGCTCTCCAGGCTCCCACTGAGGTCGGTGTTAATTCAAAAGCAGGACCTTCCTCTCACTTCACGCTTTGCTAAAGGATCCCACGCGGTGGGAACCTGTCCTGTCGCGCTGTTGTTTGAGGGCTGTCAGCAATACAGCAGCAAGAGCGAGCGTGCTTCTGGCGATGAAGGCGCAGGTCCCTTCCGCGTGTACGGCTTTGCATCGTCTCCCTTTGCTTTGGCATAGGAAGCCTTCGTACTCGCAGGGTGACTTGGAGAGTGTCTTAGTAGTCAATAAATAAAAATCGGGGATTAGATACTATCTGGAGTCTGACAATCATGGAGGAATATGGATCTATTTTGAATAGCAGAGAGCGTCCACTAATTCCTTGGGTTTTGTAGTTATAAAATACTTGTTCCCGGTCCTAAATTAAGACTCTTCATGGCCTGAGCGTGGATTCCTGATCTCTTACGCTTCTCTGCCTGACTTGCATCGTTTACAGTATTCAGTTCTTGTTGAAGTCATTAGTGAAGGCTGCATGCTTTTGTCATTCAAGCTCCTAAATAATGAGATCAATTAATTTGGGAGATTGTTTATAGGGGATTAAAGTGTTAATCTGAAAGTGTCAATGTTTTGCAATATCGAAAAATACCTTTTTTTTTTTAAGATTTTATTAATTGGATTTAAAAAAAAAAACATGGAACAAAGCGTGTCTGTTAAGCATCAGTATTTGAAAACCATGGGTTTTTTTATTGGCGTGTTGTTCTGTGGCCTTCTGCTTCTGTGGCCTCTTGGAAACACTGTGATTTTCAACATTTACAGGTGGAAAGTTCTTTGAAGAACCCCTGTCGGAGCACTTCAGTTCCACCGTGTCCTGCTTCCACAAACCCCTCTTCAGCTACAGCTCTGTCTTCACGTGACCCTCTGGAGACAAAACCTTCGCTCTGTATTCTGGTGGACAGTCGTGAGATCTCCTCCGGAGCAGAGGTGATTTCTTCCTTGAAGGCCGTTCACGGAGTCAAGGTGCAGGTTTGCTCGCTGAGCAGCAGCGATTACGTCGTGAGCAACCGCATGGCAGTGGAAAGGAAGTTCCTGTCGGAATTACTGAACTCTGTGAACAGGAATAAAGTCACCCAGCGGATCCAGCGCCTGCAGAGCATGTTTGAGAGAATATGCGTGATTGTGGAAAAGGACAGGATTAAAACAGGTCAGTGTTCCCAGGCGGGGCAGCACGGGGACGCGCTGGTCTCTGCTGAAGGCTTGCGCTGGCCACGCTGGCTTTGCGTGTGACACGGGACGGAAAGCAGATTGCAAACCTGTACTTTAGTCTCTCTAGGGGTATTACATTAATAAGGTCACCAGCTGAACAGCTGCATTTGTTTTGCTTTTTGAGGGCCATCTAATATAGGCAGAGATACACAACTGGATCCAGAGGGATACATTGCTTACTGATTACTGAGGCAGGGAAAAGCAAGTTAACTCCAACATTATTAACTGACCATATTAATATACGTGCAAAAAAACCCCAACTTCAAGGCAGATTTCAACAAAGGAGGTGAGAACAGTAGAATAAAGGAACAAGCACAATCTTACCTATGCTCAGCACTAAAATAATAGCAGACTCAAGAAAAATATTTTTTGTAGCAGTAACCTAACGAGTGGCATCGTCAAACCGCATAGGGAGATTCCGACGGCTCGGACCCCGTGGGGATGGTAGCCAGCCTGAGCGCACCATCCCATGCATTGCCCACCTCCAAACTGTAGAGACCAAACCACATAATGGCTGCTGCTTGAGCAAGCAAAAGAACATCAGCTGAAGGACATCACTTCTTAGGAAAAGAGAAAAAAGAGCACTCCTACCAAGAGTTACGCTGGGAAGGCTGTGCTTGAGCTATTGCCTCCTGCCACAAAGCAGAGCATAGAGGCGTCTCAGAGACGCCTCCTGACTTGATTAAACATTTGTGGAAAATTCAAGACTCTTTCTTTAATTTATAGAGTTTGGCCAAGCCATTTGTTGTAATCCTAAGATCCAAATGATGCAATCAAACGATTTCACTAACGCTGTCTATTCCCAGTGCCATCTAGAAAATAACCAAGAGGTCTTGCTCGCACCTGCTTCACAGAAGATGGAACTAGAGCTCGCAGCTCCGATTAAATTACAGATGTTCTGGGACATAAAACTCCACTATTGAAATCAAATTGTTGTGAATGCAGCTTTGTTTTTGTGACATAAATCTAATTTATTGATGGTTCAGATATGGAAACAGTGATAGAATTGGTCACTGAAGATGTCGCCTCTCAGCAGGGGCTGTAGATAAGTGGATTGCGGTTGAGCTGCCTTTTTACCCCGCTGCTGAAGGTGTCATTCGTTTTCCTTGGTTTTGTCCAGTTTCTGTCGTTACGCTGTTTCCGGAGCGCTGCTGCTTGCTTGTTTGGCAGTGTTCAAGTGCGTTCTTACTTTTTGTAGCTTTACCAACCTCTTCTGATTCGGTCTGTCCTGTCGTTCATCACTTCTCCTGTGCTCCTCCCAATCCTCTCTCCTAATGACATTTAATTTCCAATTTCAGCATTAATTCCTAAACTCTACCTCTCAAATAACTGAGTAAATCCTGCTCCCGTGACCCCTCCTGCCTCCTTTCCTTGAGATGTGTTCCCTCATCTTGTTTTTGGTTGTGAGCTCTCAGAGCAGGGGATCTTTGAGCCGTTTTGCTTTGCGAGTGATTCGTATTGGCTTTTTCACAGTAACTTAGCACTTCAATTTCACCGAGTTCTCTGTATTTTAACTCTGCAGGAGAAACGTCACGATTTTTCCAGAGGACGCAGTACTACGACGGCGTGCTCTCAGCCTTGGTCCAGGCTGGGGTCCGAATCCTTTTTAGCACTTGCCAAGAGGAAACTGCCGGTTTGCTGAAAGACCTGGCTTTGGTGGAGCAGAGGAAAAACGCCGCCATTCGTGTGCCAACGGAGGTGGAGGGTCACAAACGGGACGTGCTCAGCTTCTACTTGAGTATTCCTCACCTCAGCTACCCGGCCGCTCTCAATATGTGCCATTGCTTTGGCTCGGTGAAGAAGATGGCCAACAGGTAACAGCAACAATGTGCGGCAGGTGCTTCCCTTGCACTCCCGTCTCATCTGGGACCTCCTGCTGGGGGAGCTGCTCAGGGAGATCCTTTCTGCGCCTTTCTCATACTGCCGGAGCTCCCCAGGAGCTCTCCTGTCTCCAGTCCATCCTGTTCGCTATGTTCAGTCTCTCCGAGCTGAGCAGGCCGGGGCTCTGCCTCCACCCCTCCTCCTGCCCCCCTCCTGCTGTTCTGTCCCCTCTGCAGCTCCCTTAGGCTTGCTTGGTCTGGGGTGCTCACAGCCCTCAGGAACCCGGCGAGAGGCGCTGCGCCCCTTGCTCTCCTCGCACCGGGCACCTCTTCCCCGCTGGCAGTGTTCCCTTTCTCTCTCGCAGCTCCCCGCTGGACATCGCCACCGGCGCCCAGGTCAGCCGGCAGAAGGCGGAGGAGATCTACCGCTACCTCCACCACGGTTTCGATGTGCAGATGCTGCCCGAGAGCCTCTGCGCTAAGGGGAGGAGGAGCGCAGCTGCCGAGAGCTGAGGGGAGCGATGATGCTTGGGTTTCTGGACCCCCAGGCTGTTTTCTTTGAACTGCACTTTATTGAGTTTTGATTCACTGTAAAATATGTAAATAAATCCTTGCAGAAACATCAGGGGCTTTTGGCATGCTCCAGCCACTCCGTTTGTCACCTAACGCCAGGCCCCGGCCCCTGCCTGCCTCCCGCGGGGTGACACGCTTGCCTGCTGCACTGCGGGCCCTGGCAGCTGGCTGTCGCACGGGGTGGGTGTGTAGAGCGAGGCAAGCGGTGCTGCGGGCCGGGCTGGGTGCGATCATTCCAAAACTCCTTTAAAAATGAGAATAATTGCTGAAGTGCTTTGGGCAAGGGAAAGCTTTCTGGCTGAGGCAGAAAGTGGTGAGAAAGGAGGAAAAGGTTTACTAGGTCTGCAGCGGAGATGGACGGGCGCAGGGCAGGGAGTTCCCTTGTCCGCAGGTGGCCTGGCAGCCGCCATCTCCTTGTCTCCCTTCCCTCCCACCTGGATGGCGGGGAGGCCCCGGGCACGGCCTGGGAGCAGCAGTGGCTTGTTGCTGCCACGCTGTGGCTACCTGGCACAGGAACCCGTTCTATTCCTTCCTCTCCCTTCCATCGAGGCCCAAGGAAAGGAACAGAGAAAATGACCGTCGCATCTGACAGAGCGGCGCGAGGCTGGTGCCAGCCCTTCGCACCTATTTGGAAACCAAAGAGAGGCCCAGAGGCCAAGGCAAACGAGACCGATGGACAGCTTGCGACTGCTGCTGCCCCAGCGCGTCCGACCCGTTCGTGAGTAAGCTCCTCCTTTTTTATTACATTAAGGAAATGTAAAAATTCAAACTCTCAGTAGAAGATTTTAAAAAGCAATTCCAATTAGTTACAGGCCATACCATTATACATTTATTGTACAGCCATGCTTCAAAAAGATATTTTATCTTAAAATGATAAATTGTAATTGGTCTCCCAAGACATTCCCCCCCCGCCCCCGGAGAAACAGGGCAATGGAAAGGAGGAGCCTGGGCAGGAAAGTGCCACTTTGGCCGCATGGAAAATGGCAAAGGCAGCAGGAGGAGAACGGTGCTAAAACACATAAAAACCCTGCAGGTCAAGGTTTCCAAACCGAACTCTTAACACGACAGGAATG